GTGGCCCGCTAAGCGATATTATATATCTATTAAAACTTTCGTTTTCCGTTTTGTGTATACCAAAACAATTAAATAAATGAAAATTTGCATGTGTCATTCTTATAATGCGCAAGTGCAAGTACGAACTCTTCTTCTTCTTGGTGCCATATCAGATTCCTGACGTTGGCGACACCTGGCGTAGGTTTGTAATCCGCCAAGGTGTATACTAGGGAAAGTTACTACCCAGAGTGGTTTCCCGTTGCCTTCTCTGGGGCGCGATGTTACGCGAGGGGAACTAATGGTATAACAATAAAATATTATTCATTTTGTATTTGTTTTATTTTTTTAAAAGCATGTTTGCCTAAATTGTGGCCCATTGTAATGTTATGCATGAATAAAGTGGCCCGTGAAACAATTTGGGTCGGCCAGGCCTGACTTAAATAATACAGTAATTTTAAATCAGTTTGGCCTAGGACAAACTAGTTAAGCCTAAAGTATTTAGGCCAAGCTAGATTGTCCTAGGCTAAACTAGTATATCCTGACATGCGTAGGATAAACTAGTTTGGCCTGAAATCGGATTTGGCCGGTAACATATATAACAGAGAAAGTATGGCAATCAGTCAAAAAATGACAATTGAAGATTTTTTTTATTTTTTGACTTGGAATCTTGAAATGCCAAGAAATACAAACAATTTGGGGTGTTTTCTGTATGTATGGATGTTGACATGTGTTTGGGGCAGGATTTTCTTCATCCACTTCAATGCTTAATAACTCCTGTTCCTTTCATCAAAAATTTCTGAATTTTTGCAGGGTTGTTTGTTTATTAGGGGGATTGATGCTGCTAAATTTTGATGGTTAAAGATCAAGAGGGTGGGGAAATAAAGGGAGTCATGTCATATCTCAAGTGGGGTTGGAGTTAATGATTTTACTCGTTATTACCATTTACAATTTTTTATAAAATTCATCTCAATCCTAAAAATTAAGCTTTTTGCCATTTTATAATAATAAATTTAATTATATTAAAAAAAAAGTTTTTAAATAAGAAGTCGTAAGAGATGGCAACAGCACAGTTTTAAACATTTTGCCAGGAAAGTTATTCAACTGATTGCTGGATTTTATATTATAGTCATATATTTGATTAGTTTTCAGTTAATAAAACTAATCAAATTAGTTTTCAGTTAATAAGTTGATTAATTTTAGCAATTATTATTATTATTTTCGAATATGTATTAATTAAATTATAAGAACATAAATATTCCTTTTCAAATTCAAAAGCATTGTTTTTTTTTATTTATCAATGTTTTAGATATAGTCAAATTATGTTTTTGAAATAAAGTTATAAGTTCTTTAGTAATTTACATATCAATTGTTTACTGTTATTAATTTCATTTATATATTATTATAATATATTAATACAAAGAGAACAGTTTTTGATATAATTCAAAGTTTTAAATTGCAAATATTAAAACTTATTCCAAGTAGAAAGTTTTGTTCAGATTCCAATAGCAAGTTTAGATTAATGTTCTGCATTTAAAAATATAATTCTGAAACTGGAATTTAAGTATTATGGAGTTCAAGGATTAAAAGTTTAAAACTTAAAGGGTGTTCTTGTAGATTTGTTTAGATTTCATTCAGGAATTGCATGAATTGCACTGTGACGTTTTGTATAAAATATTTCAGGATTCTTTATTTATTAAATAGTAATTGCATCCAATATTGTTAAGAAGTATTTTATCTTATAAATCTTTAATTTATTCTTTCAGAGAAAAAATGCAGATGAAAACATCAATATATATTATTATTCTTATATTGTCGTTGTCATCGTATTCCATTTGTCAAATGTGCCGTAATCAAGAATCTCTTATGGCTCCTACTGTAATGGTAGCTATACTTGCAAGAAATAAAGAACATACTTTACCACATTTTCTTGGTTATTTAGAAAGATTAAATTATCCAAAGCATAGAATGTCTCTTTGGATTAGGAGTGATCATAACATCGATAAAACTGCAGAAATGTTACAAATGTGGGTTGCCAAAGAAAGAAACAAATATCATAAAGTTGATATAGAAATTGATGAAACAACAGATTTTTTTTCTGATGAAGACGGAGTGTTTGATTGGTCTCCGCAACACTTCGCTCATGTTATTCAGCTTCGGGAGACTGCTCTAGAAACAGCAAGGCAGTCTTGGGCCGATTATCTGTTTTTTATTGATTGTGATGCTTTTATTGTAAATAACGAGACACTAAATGAATTAATTGCTCAACAGAAGACAATTGTTGCACCAATGTTGGAGTCTTTAGGTGCTTATTCTAATTATTGGTGTGGAATGACTAGTGATGGTTATTATAAAAGAACTAAAGACTATATGCCTATTTTAGAAAGAGAAAAAATAGGATGCTTTGACGTCCCTATGGTACATTCGGCTGTTCTAATAAATCTCCGACATAAGCAGTCTCTAAAACTTACTTATGACCTAGCCAAGTTAGTTAATTACACTGGTCCAATAGATGATATCATAATATTTGCAAATTCAGCTAAACATGCTTGTGTGCCAATGAATATTCTAAATAAAGAAGCTTATGGTTATATTCTAGCACCGTTAGAAAATGAAAATACTTTAAAAGACGACATTGATCAACTAATTAATTTACGATTAGAAGTGATGGTCGAAGATCCTCCATTATATGTTTCTCCTCATTTACGTTATTACGTTCCCGAGAAAAAGAAAAGTAAATTGGGATTCGACGAAGTTTATTTAATTAATCTGAAGCGACGTACCGAAAGAAGAGAGAGGATGTTGAGATCTTTAAATGAATTGGGAATTGAAACAAAACTTTTAGATGCTGTTGATGGAAAACAATTAAATCATTCAATTATTAAAGAAATGGGAATAAAGATGCTTCCAGAATATACAGATCCATATCATAAAAGACCTATGACAATGGGAGAAATAGGTTGTTTTCTCAGTCATTATAAAATCTGGGAAGAAATTGTTAAAAAGCAGTATCGAAGTGCTATTATATTTGAAGATGACATTCGCTTTGAATCTTACTTCCGCCGGAAACTTTCAAATTTATTGAAGGAAGCAAGAGGTATTAGTCTGCAATGGGATCTTATATATTTGGGGCGAAAAAGACTTTTGGATGACCAAGAACCTTATATAGAAGGAACCACTACACTTGTTCGTGTAGCTTATTCATATTGGACATTATGTTATATGATAACATTAGAAGGTGCAAGAAAACTTATTGCAGGTGATCCACTCTCAAAATTAGTTCCTGTTGATGAATATCTTCCCATAATGTTTAACAGGCATCCAGAAACAGTTTGGAAAAGTTATTATCCTGAAAGAAATTTAAGAGCATACTCAGCACATCCATTACTCGTATATCCCACGCATTATACTGGCGAAGATAAATACATCAGTGACACAGAAGATTCTGAAGTATTAAGTTTAATGAGAGATGAATTGTGACATTTTTTTTTACATAATTGTTAATTCTATCTATATTGACTAAAAATTATTTGTAATGGTTCTTATGTCCAGTTTTACATTTAAATGCAGCTATTGTGTTCAAACAAATTATTCAATAGATTGTTTTATCCATTTGCCATAAGAATATTTCTATAATATAATTTTAATTTTTAAAATTTTATTTAAAAGTCTATAAATTGTATATCTAGTCAAACGTATAATCCTACAATGTTTGGTAACAAATGGTTTATCAATATTTCTATGATGATGTACTAAAGTCTAATACCAATCCTTTCATAGCATATTTACATTTGCCACACTTATAGGATGCAAATCTGGTTCGGATACTAATTTGGAAAGCTTAATGTAATTTATGTTAATACTTTATATGCTGATAAGAAACAGGACCAGTATAAGAAGACCAACTGGATTCACAAACAGTTAAACTGAATTTAGATTTATTACTGGAAACAGAACCAATTTAAAGATATAAACAAACTAATTTCTTGTTAGATACTTTTGTTACTTTAATCATTAATTCAAAGTTATAGCTTTTCACTTTTTTATCCTAATTGTTTAAAAATATCTTTAATTTCTAATCTGAAATTAATTTAATAGTTTTTCGAACATATTTGCAGAAAGCGTTTAATGAACAAAAATGTTCTTTTTGATTTCTAAAAGCAAGTTTTGTTTTATTTCTGTTTATTTGTGAATAAAACACTGCTAAATTAATATTTCACGATAAATTTAAATTATTTCAAGAGTTACATTTAAATATTCCCATAGATGTCAATAAAATGTTAATTTAGATCATTAAAAACTGAATGCAACAAAAATTATAATATAAAATTAAATACTTTCTTAATTATTAATAAATCAATGCCTTTTTGCCTGTATTTTAGCTTAAATTTTTGGTTCATAAACCCAACCTAGAACATACTTATCATATGCTGGCCAATATCTATCTAACAATTAAAACGCTGTGCCAGTCTGTTGTTGGATAGGTTTAAGAACCAAAAATTTAATTAATCTAAAATTCTTTTAATTAATATTGTATTGAATATTCTGTTTTAAAATATGGAACTATGTTTTATGTTGAAATTGGTTTTTCAAACATCTCAACTCTTGAATCCAGTATTTGGGGTCCTTAACTGCCGAGTCATAGAAACTTATTTTTTTAATTTTTGTATTATTTTTGCAATGAAAAAGTGATTTATATTGGTTTACATTTTATTTATGTTGTAAGACACAAAACTTATTATTAGATTTTAAAGTAAGATATTTCTCTCAGAATAAAAGGCAGCATTTCCCCTTTCTCACGTGTAGGCACTTAATTGTATCCATTGTGGGTCTGATCAAACCACAGTGGGGACAACGAGGTGATAAGGGATGGGCCCCAAAATATCTGGAGTAGACCACCCATGAAAAACTTTGTGGTGGTTTTTTAATTGCCCAGATCCAGTTCTTGGAGTAGTAGGCTGATTCCTTCACTGCCTTGTCCATCCAGCTGTCAGCACTTTTCTGAAGTTTTTTCATATTGGATGTGTCAGTGAAGAAAACTTTATTATTGCTTTCTTGCATAAAAATACTCAAATTTAATTGGACTGCAATTTGAAAAAATTGTAGACCTATAAATTCCCACTATTATTCGTTGCATGTTGCTCTGTCCTACCTTAATCTCGAGAACGTTGTTAGATAGATGAAAGTCGAAACCAGATAGGGAAAGCTAATGGGCAGGCCCCGATTAACTGCATATGAATTTCTGGTCTAGAACAAAAGTTACATGAATTCCATTCAAAAATTTTCCCTAGAACAGTTACGTAGATGACCAACCTGACATTGTTATCAGGAAAAGTATGGTGTACAGGGGCAAGACACTACTAATTTGACATCAAGAGCATATATTTTAAATTAAGTAAATTAAAAATATGATTAAAAATTGCAACCTAGCATTGTGAAGATGCCACAATAATTTTTGCTCATTCACTTTTATTGTTTTTCTTTTGAAACTGCAGAATAAGCTATGTTATTACTCTGAAATTTCATAGGAACTTTATAAACCACTTGACCTTACATTTTTTCTAGGATTATATCATGCATATTTTGTGAAGAGATTGGTTTGTAAATTTAATAAAAAGAAATGAAGAGATCAATTCCTTCTATTTAATATATATTTACATTTTTATATGATTATTTGTTGTTAATAAATATCCTTGCATTTAAGAATTGCGTATGTTTTTTATTTACTTTTTGTCCTTAGCCCAGGTAATTGAAATCAGGTAATTAAAAAAGCCTTAAATCGAAGGAAATTTAACTTGTATTTCTCTTGATTTTAACTTTTTTCTGTTGGTTGTCAGAAATTGCTGATTACCATATAGGCCTAGATTATTGTATTGTATTGATTATTATATTTTATTGTCCCATTGTTTTGTTTTATAATGTATTTAATAAATCTGTATTTCTTCAGTAATAATGGAATTTTTCTTTCGTTAACCATCCGTAAAAGTATAAGTCAGTTGGAAGAACAAGGTGCAATAAATCGCGCAAATTTCATGAATTACGCCAAAATGTTCTATAGTAACTGCTTAGATTATTTAGAAGAGTGGGCGGTACAGTATATTACAGTGACATTGAACATTTTCATTGGGTTATACTAAAACAAGAACTTAATTGAGAAGATGTGCAAAAATCTTTCCATCACATTAGTCAACATTTTCCATATAGTAATATTTACGAAAACGATCTTTTTAATGAAGTATCATTATTTAAAAAATATATTGATAAGGAAAAAGTTAAATCTTGGGCATCGGCAAAAATCTCAACATGGTTAGAAATATTTCATCATTTTGAAATAAACTATGTTCCATACAATAATGCATTAAAAATTGTGGAATACGCGCTCCAATGCCGCGACTGAACGCGTTTTTTCTATCGTAAATAAAGTGTGGACATCTGATAAATCACAATTAAGTGTTGAAACTTTGAAAGCCATATTATGTGTGAAATATAATTTAACAAATTCTTGCGAAAAATTTCTTGACATTTTAAACAACGACAGCACTCTACTAAAAAAAGTTCACTCAACTGATAAATATGCGAAAGAATAGTTTTTAAAGATTTATAATAGTATTATATATTTATTATATTTATAAATTTTACGTATGTTGAAATTTAAAAAACCTAATACAATATAATTTTTGGCGTTCTTTGATAATAAAATTTGGTTGTTCCAGAATAATTTTCTTCAACGAGACAATTTTGAGCATTTTCCCATGTCAATTTTGTCCCGCTTCACCAATGTTAAAATCTGGTCATCTTATTCTAATTGGAACACTATCATTTGTTCGACTGTAAATACCCTTGTATAAAACTTATTGTTTCAATAATATATATTAATGCTAACTATTCCCTCAACTATTAAAATACAAAAGAAGAAACGATTTCACTTTATCCCTTTCAGTCTAGTCAAGGTTAGAAACATAAAATGGCGTGAAGGGGGCTTGTGGCGAACGCCACTTTTCACATCTCAACCTTCGTGAAAAACAAGCAATTCACCCGGGTGGTATGAGTCATCACTTCCTGGAACAAGTTCGAACAATACCTGCATCATCTGTGGAGAATTTGGTAGAAACAAATAATTATGGTACAAATTTACTGTCGTGCTGCTTGGGCACATTCTGAATGTACCGGTAGTTGATTTGATTCTCCAGATGATTACATTTGTTATTATTGTATTGAACGATTAAAGTTTTTAATTTAAAGTGCTTGAACTTATCATTAAATACACAAACTATTTTGAAAACAATACATATATAAAAAATTAATAATTCATATTAATTTTTTACATATGTATTGTAATATATAATAATATGTAATAATACAATACATATGTTTGTTCAAAAACTAGAAAACTTAAGTTTTCTAGTTTTTGAACAAACATATCTAACGTTTCAGTCTTTTTCAATGTTTTTATATGATGGTTCCCATTACCTCGCATGGCTGGGTAATGGGGCTCAGTGTAACGTGTTTTTTATCATTAAGACAATATGGGGAGGAATACTCGAGTTTTGACACATGTACTTTATTTTTTAGTGTACACTGTTTGCACCATTAAAATAACTTTTCACAATATTGTTAAGTTTTCTTTAATGGGAAAAAATTTAATTATTTTGTTTACTGTATAAAAAAGCAGAGCCATGGCTAAAGCATTTGACACCAGAGACAAACTTAAATATGGCGCCTGTTAAAAATACAGTCGACCCCCCTATAACACGGTAGATACGTTCCGTTTTTTATGAAATTCATGTTTTAAGAGTCCTTAAATACATGAGCCAATCACAGCCCGGCACGTGTGCAGTTTACGGATTACGTCTGTTTGAAAGGTTTTCTTCCATAAAATTAATCGATTCTAGACTAATTCGACTCAACATTTCCAAAACACGTATAATTTTTTGGGAATAATCCATATAAACTATGCTATAAACAAGAAATTGTGGGATTACTTACCGAGTGTGCACCATTCGACGACGCCATTGCTTAAGCTTGTTTTCGTCGCGGAGCGGCACATTGAACAGCAAGCGCGTGTTTCCTGATAAGTTATTTTTCTGCGAAAAATTCGCTGAACTTTGGAGACATCATTAATAAAAATATAATTTTTATGGCCGTTAAATAACAAATAGTTTGTAGTAGGTCTGCTGCTCATTTAAATTCAACGCTTTGTGCAATATCCTCTATTGGTCTAGATTTGATCAATCCTTTCGCGACACGAGTCGGCGATGATGTTTTGCCGTATTATACGAGTTTCTTTTAGCGTATTTATATGAATACGGTCGCAATTTTTTCGCCGTTACATACGAATCCGCATTATATGAACACGTTTTATAGGGTGGCCTACTGTATAAAAATCATTAAAAAAACAATTTTTATCAATATTATTCATATAATTTTTCATACTCGTATGCGAGTTTTCTGTAAATTTATTAGTTTGCCCATGTAAGAATTATTAAATTTTGGCGCCCCGTTATCTTTACGCACTGGCACGTGACCAGTGCGTAAAGATAACGGGTAAATTTGCTCCTGCATTTTCACGGTCCCATACAAAAGTAAAAGTAAGATTATTTTTTCGAATCTAAGTGTGTTTATGGGAAAGCCGTCACAACTTTCGTTTAAAAAATTCAGCTATGTAGAAAATTTGTTATTTTTGCAGTTTCTTTATTAAAAAAACTCGATCGGAAAAGAAACATACTAACAATGGAAATTTTCTTATACAGTTTGATAAACAAACCACACGTTTAGCTTATGGTTTTTCTTAAACTGCAAATTTTTGGGATAGTTAGGGATTAAAGTAGCCGAGAAAATTGAACCCGTGCGCATTACCCATTCTTAATGTTGTTCTTCTTTTCTTTTGGAAAAGAAGAACAACATTAACCACTCGTCCACTGGAAGGCTTGTCAAAAGCTATTAACACGAACAGACTACTTACATCAACATAAGCAAATAGCAATTATGATACATCGAAAGGTTGCACACAAATGAAAAGCATTACACATCCAGGAATCATATTATAAATACGCTTCTTAGACGGTCATAGAAAACATACACGAATTATACTACGACCGTGACATAATTACAGACAAAACAATCCGTCACTATTCACAATAGACCGGACATCATATTCATTGCAAACAAAACAAAATCACATTCATCATAGAC